ACAAGGAGAGCTGTTATGCCTTTATCATCCACTGTAAGAAGAGCAAACTTAAGGAAACGAGCTTACCTTAAAGATGTTGATGGGGATGTTGCTGATGATGTAGAAAAGGTCCCCCAGGGCCAGGCTGCCAATCAGGACGTTGGGCCCATTCCTCATACACTTGTTCTTGTATATGATCCTCAGCAGGGTGGAATTCCCGACGATCCCGACCACAAAAATCAGGCAGGACACGACGGTGTTGACATACTTGAAGGCTTGCATGAGCTCCGTGGGCTTCAAACACATGGGGGGAGGGCTCTGTGGTGGGGCGGACTTTGGGCCCAGCACTGAGAAGGAGGCGTTGGTGTCGGGGGGCTCAGAGGGGTCAGAGCCAGTCTGTGAATCCCGGGCGTATCTGGAGGCTGTGACTTCCTCCAACGTCAGGAGACACAGCAGAAAAACCAAGAACCTCATGTTTACCGAGGGCTCAGGCTCACACAGCGGGAAGTTAGCGCACTCACAGGCACATGGCAGCCGACAGTTACACGCTGGAACACACTTAGCGACGCATTTTTCACTCGTGAAATGCGCATCCACCACACAGTCGGTCTCCGCACCAAGTCTGGAGTTTGGGTCTGGGTTAAACTCCTCTGTCCTGCAGAGAGAGAAGAAAAACAAGTGAATTAGATATAAAGACAAAAAAAAAAAACAACAAAAAAAACAGAAAGCTTAGGTTTTAGTTTTTTAAACACTGAAAGAATCAGTTCCACTTGTAATTTTAAAATAAAATGTTCAATAACAGTTCCTCAGAACCATTTGGAGTCCTGGAACTAGTCGACTGTTACTGCTGTACATCCGTGCATAGACTCAGGATTATTTAGTGGCTCCATAGTGTAGGAATAAGCACGTCTGCCTTACAGAAGGTCCAGGGTTCAAGTCCCAGAGGCACACACTTAGAGCCTGTTGTAGATCTGCTGTCAGCACAATGTCTATTCCAGTCATAAAAGGAGAACGCTTCAACAATAATAAACCACTGGTGCGTTCACACTAATATGTGAGTCCATGGCAGTAAGAACCGATTCCGAGTCTGATCCTCAGGTTCCACGTTGGTGTCACAGGATCGACACGGGTCCTGTGACATGGTTATAACAGTACTGTGTTGAAAAAGGTGTGAAAATCACTGAGTTCTAGAACCTGAGTGAACAGTGAGTGACGTAAGAACAATGTCAGCGCAACAAGATATATATATATATATATATATATATACACTGTATATATACTGAATAAGCTAGGTATACAACACATGTCAGAGTACTTTGTACAACTGCATGAATGCTTACAGTCCATTGCATCACTGGTCACTCCTGTGCTTTTGGACCAGTTGTTTGTGATGTATTTCTGGGTCACTTTATGAGTCGTGATGAAAAAAATAAATAAATAAATAAATAAATAAATCATGCAATGTGTTCAGCACAGCAAACGAGACCCGCGTGGACCCCAGACAACTGGGACACACAGCTGATCTTCACACAGAGGCCCACTCTGTTCACTGACACAGAGGCAGAATCACATGGACCGACTCACACAGATATCACAAGAAAGCAGCTTCAAAGAGTTTGGCCGTCCTTCGCCCCCCCCACCCCAGACCCCCCCCCCCTCCACCCCGTCATCTTAATTGTACTGTGTCATAAACA